GGGGCCTGAATAATTACAAATACTATTTTGGGGGCTCCTTATTATACTCATAGTATAATGGGCCTCAAAACTTTATTCTAATTATTCAGGCCCCTTTGTTAGAACCCTTTTGGACCCGCTGTCTAAACCCTGTGCGATCTAGTAATTTCAACCCTAGAGCCCTAGTAAGCCCAAGACCTTTGCAAACTCCAAACCCTCAACCCTGTATTTTAGGGGCCTTAATAATTAGAATAGGGTTTTGCGGCCCACTATACCATTATAATGAGGAGCCCCAAAGCCTGTATACAATCTTATGAAATCGAAGCTGTAAGTAACCCTAAATTATATGGAACCCCTGGCATAGAACATTAAATTCAACGACACAATAGTTCCATAGGCGACCTGACTAGCGAGGACCCGGTCTTTTCATGTCTAACCTCTTAGTTCACCCGGGCCCTAAGCCCTAAAGCGGTTTAGGGCTTAGGGTTTAGGGTTTCGGGCTCGTAGAACCCACAGATACCCTCAGACCGGCTGACTGACGAGGTTTCACTTCTCTCGACCCACAGGATGCGTCCGGAACGCAGGCCAGAGGAATGTATTGCTGCGGGATTTAGAGGTTTAGGCTTGCTAGGTCGTTGCAGTTGAAGGCTTTATGCTCTTTTGTGTGTTTGTTTGTTTGTTCAGGGTTTCGATTTTGGGGTTGTTTTGCATGGGGTGGGTTCTCGGCTCGGAGGGCTTAGTGGCTCTGAGTCGTTTCCGGTTTGAGGGCTTGCAGCTACGGTGCCCAGCTATTGGGCCTGCAGGTTGGAGTCTTAAGGTTTGTCGGCAGCCTCCATAGAACGGTATACTTTGAAGTAGCTTCGTTGGTTATTTTGGGAGCCCATTCTGTTGTTAGGGGGCTCCTGTAGATTGTTCAGTAAGGCATGGACGAGGGCCTACTACAAAGACGTGGACACTGGACCGTAAACCCTGACGTTTAAGATTCCCAGTTTACGGGCTTCTGCTTCCCTTCGTTGTTGACTCACTGCATGCAATGTATGGGATCTGTACCCTACAGCCTGCACCCAAACTGCGAGGGAGTGAATTGGCATAGGTTTTGCTTCCATTCCAAACATTGGCTAATACAGAAGCCTAAATAATTGCTAATATTATTGTTAGGATACCTAGCTATAGTATAATATAACCCAAAACCCTATTCTAACTGTTGAACCGCCAAACCCTTAACCCGAAACCCTCCGTCATTCACATGTGTTTGTGTTTTGGCTTTTCATTGACGTGTATATATGTGTCTGCGCATGTTTATATTTGCACATACCTATGGCCTCACGCAAACATCATACATATTTTTCATACATGCATACACACATACCTTTCTTCTACCCATCTATCCATCTGTCCAGCTGTCTATCTACCTATTAATTGAATTTTGCATTGTTCTCATGTTCATTGCTCGTATCATTTAGGGGTTTCCGAATATAGGGGACCCTAGTATAGTACCCCAAATAGTAGGATGCTTATCATAAGGACCCCAAGTAAGGTACCATACTTTTCGGAAACTCCCATTTTTGTGTTGTCTGTAGCTGACGCCAGGAGCGGGTCTACTCCGAGCTTGGCCACACGGCTCTCTCAGCATGAGTCCTTGAAGCGTCACCCCGTCGAGGGCGTAGGGTTTGGGGCTTTGGGTGTAGGGTTTAGGGTTCAGGGCTTCAGGTTAAAGGTTTAGGGTTTAGGATGTCGAATCAGGGCATTGGGTTTAGTCTGGTGTGTAGGGTTCAGGCCAACCAACTGTAAACCCCGAACCCCCTAAGTAGTACATGTAGTCTAAACCTCGGGTCGCGATCCTAAGCCGGACTTCCCAATCCTTACAAAACCCTAAACCCTAAACCGGCCTTAGAANNAATCCCAAACCCTGAACCCTCAACCAGAACTAAAGACCACAGCCCTGGAGCCCTACCCCGGAGAGACGGCTCCCTCATCCAGCTTACATAATCTCTAAGGTAATATACGGGCCTTAATTAGAATGGTATTTTTTCGGGGCATTCTACTATAATTATAATAAGGA